TTCTATTTATTGCTTCACTCTTAGACTGATTTATGCAAGAGATGACCTTATATCTTAATAGTCTGAGCCTCTGCCAGCCAGCTCCAATTATAAAATTCCAGAGAAGTCTTTGATTAGCATAGCAGTGACACCACCAAAATTTGTGCTCCCATTTACATGGTGGGGGGAGTGGTGGGGGGAATGGCTGTCCTGCTAAGAACTACATTTTCTAGTTGCCCCTTGCATCTAGCTGGATAAGGACATGTGAATAGTTCTCACCTGTGGAAAATGAATGGAAATGATATGTATTACATCCAGGCCAAATGGTTTAAGAAGTGCTATACCTTCTCTTTCTGCTTCTGTCAGCTTGATTCAGTGGATTTTAAGGCCCTGGGGAATTAGGGAAGAAGCCTAGTCTCTGAATCACTGTGTGGAGAAAAGCTCTCCACTGACCAGTAGTATCCACACTGGGATATGGTATAATTGAGAAATCAGATCCTAAGTGTTAAGCCACTCACATTTTGTTTTTGTCTTTTTTTTAAATTACAGCAGATGGCAATACCCATCTAATAGGCCATGGGCCTAAGGTACTAATTTGGTATAGCCTGGGTCATCTTTCCTTGTGATAAGAGGAGTAGGGTCTGATACCTGTTGTAATGAAAGAACTACATGTTTGTTTAAAATTAAGAACAAAGACTTTTCTTGTGGCAAAAAAAATGTTTTGCAAAATGGGAAACACAGTGCTGGGAGAAATCTGACAGAGTATTCCAGCTAGCTGCAGTGTTATAAAGATTTTAAACAGGTAAAAACCACAAACAAGAGGGTACAGCTGGAGTATTTCTGATTGGTTAACATTTACAAAACTGCAGGTGGCAGGGTCTTAGTTGACCACCTCTGCAGGAGTTGACCTCCTTTACAAGGGTGGTTCCAGGTGACAGGATTTGGCTGATCATGAGTTTCCTGAAACATTTAAATATAGTTATCTTTAAGTACAGTATACTGTAAAGGGGGTTGGAAAAACACTTCTCGAGGGGCATCTAGGGGTAATTTGGCTTAGCCACTAAAGTCACTTGTTTAACATTCTGTCTCACACCTGTACAAGCTGAATTATCTCTTTTTAACATCAGCCATTTCTAATTACAAGCTTGTTCTATCTAAAGCAGAGTAGGGTAGGTAAAACCACATTTTTTCTGTAGAACTACTTGCTTCTAGGTCAAAGGTACAGTGGAAATTTTACAGAAAATGGAAACTACACATTAAGAAATACAAATGGAGTCACTAGGACAAGAAAAGATTTGGCCTAAACGTTAGCCAGAAGTTCTAGTCATGTCAAGAGCCTTAGCTGTGGAATGCTCTTCCTCACACCAAAAGAGGGAAGGTAGGCGGGCTGGGCTACTACAGTTAACTTACCTTTACATTAAAAAAATGAATATTCTGTTTTTACTCACAGATAAACAAAAAACTATTGGTCTTTTTTCTAATTTTTACTATATCACCAATAATGTGTTTACCTTTAAAAAAATGCATGCTTATTGTTACATATTTCACGGTAATATAAGCTATTTTAAAAATTTGAACATTATAGAGATTTAAAATTTAATAATCTTCCCTTCCCTCTTCCAATCCCACTCCACTGAGGTATCCAGTGATAGTCTTTTCTATTCTTATGCTAATATATAAAAACCTTATTTAGTATTTCTTTCTCCTTTCTTCCCTCCCTTCTATAAAAAATGAGATTATACATTACGCACATTACTCCAAAACTTGCTTTTGCTCTCATAACAATGCATCATGGACATTTTTTTAAAATATCAGTATAGCATTCCATAGAATAGATATGAAGTCCCTGGGTGGAGCAAACAGTTAAGCACTGGAGAACTAGCTGAAAGGTTGGTGGTTTGAAACCTAACACCACCTGGGGAGACAGAACTGGCGATCTGCTTCATAAAAGTCAAAGACTTAGACACTCTATGGAGCAGTTCGACTGTGCACACATGGGGTCACTATGAGTTGGAATCAACTCGACGACAACTAACAACAACAAAGAGTGGATATACCATAATTTTTCCACCCATTCTCCTGTTTGACATTTTCATTTTTTCAAGTTTTGGTTAATATAAACAGTACTGCAATAAACATTTCGTACATACATACTTATATATTGATGTTGTTAATTCTGCAGAAAAAATAGCCAAAAGTGGGTTTATTGAGCCACAGAATGCATACACTTTTTGTTGTAACGTATAGTGCTACGTTAATATCCTGAGAGGCTGTAGCACATCAAGGTTTTTTGAGAGTGACTGTTTCCCCTACAGAGGTTGTTTTCAATCTTTTAATTTTCGCCAGTGGATGACGGAGTAGTATTGTCTCATTTTGCTGTTTCTAGCTACCAGTGAGGTTGAATGCTTTTTCATGTTTTTTTTTTTTTTTT